TTAATTATTATTCATTCGTTAATTCACTCTGCGCTTATAAGTTATTAACGTTCTTATTCGTATTTCAACGAATTACGTATATTCGAAACGCTCTACGTTTAACGTTTAACGACGATGTTTATTGTCTCGATCGACCTTTGTCTCGAACATTCGTGAACAATCTCGAACTACAGCGGTTGTCACGCAAACCCTTGCATTCCAATATCATTCAAACAGTTTCATTTCGTTCAATTCCAATCACTTTCGTTCTTAATCGCATTCATTCTTTGGTGGAAGGACAGGCTGACGCATACTTTGCAGGTACGAGAGGTACCTCGCTAAATGAATAGAAGAAAATTCTTCTTTATGTTGCACGGTTAAGTTGGGAAATTTCCAAGTGCGTCGCACTGCTTAACCGCGCGGCGAAGGATGTTTATGATACCTCTCCCTAAACGGTTTCGACTTTCGAAGTTTTTGTCGCTGCGTAGTTTCGACTAGACAATCATCCCAAGGAAAGATCGACTCGTATTATTTGAAAGAACTAAATATAGCCTCCTTTGTGTGCTTCGCCTGGGATTATCTCCAAGTGCTTCGCACTGGCGAGGTACACAAATTTGGTATATTGACGGTTACTATTGAAACTAGTAAAAGAAAAGGAAAAGGAGAATTATAATTTTAATCTCAAACTCCTTTCTTGTGTTCTCCGTGAGGAATCACTTCCAAGTGCACACGCACCCGACGGAAGAACACAAGATCGGAGGAGCGCGAACAGATAAACGAGGAAGAAAGAAAATAAGAAAGGCCCTTCCTTGCGCCCCTCACGTGGATAGTTTCCAAGTGCAGCGCACCCGATGAGGAACGCAAGGTCGGTGTAACGTCCCAGAGCACCGGAATTCGTCGTTTCGAATTTCCCGGGGTTGTAATTCCCGGTTACACGTTTGTGCCGTTGCTTGCGACGTTGACTCGCGGCAGGGGAGTCGAGTTTTGTTAGGATGTGATGGTTCGGAAACTTGTCCAATGCGTTTTTTAAAACAACTGTTTATTTATACAAATTATGTATGTGCGTTTAAGATGATCGAGAGTTAGCTTCACAGCACGAAGTGCTTCTGACCGTGTTTTTTCGAGAAGTGTCTACGGGGTGAAAATCGGCTGTATTTATACTATGGGTTGTATCGAGAGTGGGGGGTGGAAAATGCATTGGAATTGGAAGTATGGTTAGTGACCGTGACCATTCCTTGCTGGCCCACGTGGTGGTCATCGGAGCGGGGTGGTTGTGTTATAACACTAGCATCGGTACTTGGGACCGAACAGTCGGGTTTATGAAAATGAACCCGGACGTAACAGAGGTGTGTTTGAAATAAATTTGAAACTGTTTAACTAAATGAAACTGGTTTAATCGTGAATGAAAAATCAGATAATTGGTAACTGTGAAATGCCAAAATTGAGAGTTTAATAATTTAGAAATTTCGTTAATATAGAAAATACCAGTTTGCAAAAATATGAACAAATGTAAAGATGCTTAAAATTAATTAACAAAATATGATTGTATAAAGCGCTCTAATATCACAACTGAAACCGACGAGTATATTACCGGGCGCGTGAATATGATTATCACAATTCCGCCTTCCAAATTTAACTATAAAATCGGCGGTTTTCGCCCGTGGTACACCTCAGCCTGAGAAATTCTCGTACCTCTCGAAAGAGCTGGACTAAGGCGCCCTTTTGATGACGGGAAAAGAAATTGGAATTTCGAGATGTAATAAACAAAAAAATTAATACTGAAATCAGTTGATACCTGGTACGGTGGAACGATCTGACCTGAGTCACTCTCGTAACCCCGAAGGGCTGGACCAGATCGCCCGTTTTGCCAATTGATAAACGTCGTGATCGAAAAATGTAATTGAAACGACTTACCGTTATGCTGTACAATAAAATACAAGATAACTCGCTTGCTAAATTCGCTTTGTGTTCGCTCGATGATCTGGAACACCAAAGAAACGGTAAGATGTCGATTAATGCACTTGTCGCGGCGGAAACGGATTATTACGGACGAGTATGTCGACGAAAGACAAACGAATATCGAATTACGAATTACGATTAATTACGGAAACAATCAATATATAATTTACGCGGAATGAAGTTAATACGAGAACTACGCGAGCAAACGATTTAAAATCAGAAAGAAAAGATAGAATTTTAGGTAGAAGGAAGATTTAACGTGCGCGTCTGTGAGTCCTTATTCAGAATTCCGATTATTTTAACTACCACGGCACTCTGCCTCGCTACGCGGAGGACTTTACCGCAGAGAGAATATCGCGAACTTCCAAATAACTCTGTCTGTCGGACACACGGGCTCCCGATCACGTACTTACGTTTGATCGATCAAGAGTGACAAATTTCGTGCGCGATCGATGGTCGAAGGGCCCGTCGCGCGAACATCGTCCTTGGGGGGGACGGTTTGGCGAATCGTAGTTCGTTTTCGGAAGTGTCGCGTGCCCGGTGATTGGCTAAGACGCGCGAGCTAGACGAAGATCCTTCATCCCCTTTCTTTGGTGTTCCTTCCTTTTCTAGTTCGTCGCCATGATAGTTTCAACGGTTTTCAGAAACTGCGCAGTATTTCTCTTTATACGTATAATTAACTAATCGCATTGAATTGTAGTATGACTTTTGCATTGAATTAATTAATAACTATCGATTTGATTGAATTGTAGAATGAGGTTTAAAATTGAAATAGAGGTTTTGATAGAGGAAACCGTCATCCGTATATCATGATCAAAATTATTCACTTTCCTGATTTGCAATAAAGATAGTCTGATCTAATATGTTTAAAAGCGGACAATGCGCTTACGGTGGTTGTAATGCCGTGGCGAATTACGCATTTTACAATAATCTATCGTACATTAAAACTATCGCTTTGATGAATTCGGCATTTCGCATTCTATGAATTTTAAACAATTCTAAATCTGGCGAACGTTCCTTCGAGAACGTTCCTTTGTTCAAAATTTGCCGTTATCGCCTGGTAATTCTTAGAATTTCGATACAATAGTGTTTATTGCTTCGAACGACCCTTGATTTTCGAACGGCGGTCGAACGTTCGCGACGTTCGCTTTCGTAAGGGTTCTCAATTCTTACTTTCATTGTTTAAATTCGTTTTCATCCATCCACTCTCTCATACTATCGTTACAATCAGGTAATGATGATCCTTGTTGGACCGGCTGACGCTTTGTGCAACAGAGTGAGAAAGAGGTTTCTAACAAAAGAGTTATTACGATTTTCCCGTTTTTACGCAGTTAGCAAGGGAGATTCCCGGAATGCGAAGCACTGGCTAACTGCGTAGCGCTGGTGTTATTGCTACGGCTCTCTCTCTCTCTCTCTCTCTCGAGCTAACCCGAGTTTTTGTGCGTATTACTGTCTTATGTTACAATGGCTGGCGACGATAGTTTCAAGGAGGGTCACGTAAGCTATTGAAAAGAGGAAAATAGAAACGGCCTTTCCTCGTGTAGCTCGCATGAGAAATTCTCGTAACCCTCGAAAGAGCTTGACAAGATACACGATTCCAGGGTAGAGCAGGTAAAGAAGAGAAAGCGATAGAGGAAGTCAAAAATAGAAAAGAATTAAACTCAAACTCTTCCTTGTACATCCCTGCATGAGGAATCCTCGTAACCTCGAAAGGCTTGACAAGAATATACAAGGTTAAGGAGGAATGAAAAGATTGACGGAAAACCGAAACACCCACCCGTACGCCCCTTACATGAGAAATTCTCGTAACCCAAAAGGCTTGATAAGGGACGCGAGGCGGATAAATTTCAAATTTTCCGCCGGGACGTAACACCGCAATCAAATCGTTATTGGCAGCATCGTTTGTTCTGGTACTTTTAATTTTGCGCCGCCTCCGAAAACGTTGAAATGTATTTGGTATCCTATTTAACGATTAAGTAGATATTATTAATAGCTATGGAATACTGGTATAAATAAAATAGAAATTATTTCACACTTTTTAGTGGAACGAGCAGTATTTGTAGCATGCTGCAAGGTGGTTTACCGTTCTTATTGGATAATTACAACAACAATAGTTATTAACAATAACGAATACCATAAATGTTTGCAAGTGGGATCATCGTAGAAATATCTCCTATTAGATGTGAAAGGTGTTACGGGCAATGTGTTCAACGTGGGCTTTTTGTAAAATGACCGGACATTGTGTAGATTGCACATTTTTTTGGGCAATGTATATAATGGGCAGGTGTTTCACAAATGGCCCGGATATTTTATATAATATCCACGGTTCGTTGACATTAAACTTATTACTATTATTATTATTATTATTAAAACCATATATAGATGTGATAGGTTAGAATAGGCCACACACTTAAATCCGGCCGCTGTGAAGCGGCACACAATGCCCTTGTCATTTTACAAAATGCCTACGTTAAACATATTGCCCGTTACAAACGGTTTCATCGCGATTGGTTCATTCCTTGCAAAGTAACACCAAGAAATAAGCTTTTCACTATAACAATAGTTATTAACAATAATAAATTCCATACATTTTCGGAAGCGAGCTCATCGCGGAAATATCTCCTATCAGATCGAAAAGCTTTCATCGCAATCGGTACATTCCTTGCAGAGTAGCGCTAAAGAATAGAATTTGCAATAACAATAGTTATTATATATGTACAGGTAGGTCTCGATTAGTGCCAGTAATAAATCCCAGAAATTGTTCGCAATATTTGAATTCGTACTATTCGAATATTTGGAATATAGGAATTGGTTCTTAGTTAAAGAAAATATACGATTAAAATTTTGAAATATACCTTTCATACGTATATTATTAAATTATAATAGTGTAACGACCCACTGATAGGTGCGTCACTGCACCGACGTATAGGGAGAGCGGTTCCCCAAGAAGGCGACTCGTATGAACGAAATTTGGGATTATAGGTTCGTGTGGTGTGCGGTTAAGGAGTGAAATCCAACATCAATGTATCAAACTAAAATTATTTTTTATTCAAGTAAGTAAACTAACTATGATTGTTCTGAGTATAACAATAGGTGCGGCTAAAATATGAAATACAATAAGAAATTATAATAGGTACGCCCTAGATAGTGAAATACAGTAGAAAATATATGATTAGTAGTTAGTAAGTAATAATAACGCGACTTAATCCACGAATACAGCCAACACTCTGTATAACTTGCTAAATTACACTAAGTACTGGAAAACTATATTCCAGTGGCTTGTACGATACCTTCAGACACGAGCGGACTTTACCTACAGGTCGCAATCGGTTTCTGGTCTAGTCAGAGCTATGCTAATACAGGCCTGCTCAAGGAGCTCCGCTCCTCGCTAGCTCTTTACACTTGAGTATGTGTCTCAGTATTAGCACGTATTCAACACGTTGCGTACCATGAGTAGGGTGTCCACAGATCCGAACTCTCGTACGTCACCACTGAAAGAGAAGGACAAAGCTAATCTCGCGCTCTATAGTTGCCAAAGCAATTCAGCGCAAGCTTTCCTCTACTTCCAGAGTGCTGTCTGCATCTGACCGAAGTCAGGGAAGATCTGATCTGACTCTGCGTGGAACGCCTCTATTTATAGTCAGATTCTGCTGATTTAGCGCTTTTTTTTATTATAGGGTTCCTCTAGATTTCTGGAATTCCCCATCACGTAACGGCCGTGCACCCCTGCTCCTTAATCTACGCGATCACCCTACTCTAGAATCTCACCCCACCGCGAGATCATCGGGGTTGCGCTGGCGCGTATGCATTTGTTTGTCGATCATTTATCGATAATCGACTTACCGACCGACTATGAAAACTAGCATTAATCGAGACTTACCTGTATACTGGTTTTTAGTCGATGCGATATGTGTATAGAAACAGTAGAGACAGGCGAGTGCATTCTGACCCATACACCGCCAGAGTAGGCGGTAAAATACACGTAGGCATACGTAGAATTCAATGTAGTAGTAACAATAGTTTTTCACGAATATCTCGGAAACTAAAGCTTTCCGATAATTATGCATAATAAAAAAGTTCTTCAGCATCATGCCCCCGACAACATATTAAAGGGTCATTGGAATCAATATATGTTGGGATTAGAAACTTTCTGTTTGTTGCAATAATAATCCTTGGCAATGAAAAAATGCAAAATGTTTTTTTAACGGTACCAATAGGGATGCATACTCTACAAGACGCAAAAGGTTTCGTTCCGTTTGGTCCATCCGTCTCGAAGTAATCGGCGAACAAATGCAGAACAAATAAAAATAGTTTTTTACCAATATCTCGAAAACTAAAGCTTTAGGTTAATTATGCATAATGAAAATATATTAAATGATCATTGAAATCATTCTATGTTGAGTTTAGAAACTTTTCGTTTTTTTACAATAAAAATCGTGTGAAATGAAAAACTGCAAAATGTTTTTTTAACGGGACCAATCGAAAAACATACTCTACAAGATGCAAAAGGTTTCGTTCCGATTGGTCCATCCATCTCGGAGTAATCGGCGAACAAATCCAGAAAAAAAGAAAGAAAAAAATATACTGATCGAATTGAGTATCCTTCTCCTTTTCGAAGTCGGATAAAAAAGTACAACGAATCCCATTCCCTTTCTAAAGCTTCAATATCGAAGTGACCTAATCTACGCGCGATCGCGACTTCATTGAATAAAGTTTTGTTTTTATCGCTACTCCTGAAAACGTTGGCATATGTGAAAGTAGTTAAATCCCGTAAAAATACATTGTCGCGGGGAAGACGATTGCGTATTTCATTACTTACGGTAACGTAGAATCGTAAGCAATTTTCGCGGAAGTTAATAATTTCAGTTTCTATTATACCGTTCTGCAATGCCTCTTCCAAGTGTAGTTCACACTCAGTTCCAAGTTCCACTTCATTTAGTGGAACTTGTTTAGATTGGCAGGAGAAATCCATCTGCCTAACTAAATCTAAATTAATTAGAGCAGGTTTCAAAAACCTCCACAAGAAAAATTGATGCAGCCTCGCTGATGCAGGCTGCAATTCCTGGATCATAGTTTCTCTACCCTGGAAAGAGGCATTATAGATATTTAAAACGTTTAACGTATACTCCAGAAAATAAAAGCACCCTTTAATAATAGGGTTATTGAATAATAATAAATAATTTTCAGCTACATTTGATTTTTCGGAAAATACCTGTTCTGTAAAAAATCTAATCAAGTCGTTCCAAATTTCCAAAAATCGCTGAACGCACTGGTGCATCGTCAACCAGCGCGTGTCCGACAGTTTCAGAACTTTCAACGGACAGGTCTGATAGCTTTCCTGAAACTGCCGGAAAATTGCAATTCGTTTAGGGCTGCTATTTATAAAAGAAATCACACCTGAAGCAATTTGAAACATTCCTCTGGAAGTGTAGCGCAAGCAGCGCTCGTTGCCAAAGCTACCGAATGACATACGCAAGGGAGTGTAATTACATTACTGTTTTTTTTCCAGCAATTTAGTTTTAAAAGAAGAATTCCTCCCCGTCATTACAGAAGCATTATCGCAACTAAGGGCCGCGATATTTTGCAGCGGAATTTGCGGAACTATCGGAAAGATTTGAAAATCTTTTCCGCTGAACAATCGCTGGCGTCCAGATGAATTAGTTGCAATAATTCTGTACGCACTACAAAACTACATGGCTCCACATACCTCACCGCTAAGGTAAGCCATTTATCGTTAGTCGAGTTCGACGTTTCGTCCTCGTGTATAGAAAATTTTGCGTTACGAATACTATCTACAATGCGTTCGGTTTCCCGAACGCATAAAACATTATTGATAATTTGTGTACATTTTGTACGACCTACTCGTATTCTCTCTAACACTCCTGGATCTTTTCCTATATCTTGCATAAGAGCAAGAAAATCTGTCGCGATAGATAATGCAACATTATGTTCCGCGAAGAATGCGGCATACCTAATTTCCGCGATCTTGACTTTGTCTTGAAGGGACGACGAAGGTACCACACTTTGCTTCACTATCTCACATCCTAATTCCTCTGATGCAGAATTTCCTACACTTAAATCTATCCTATCCACGCTACTTGAAATATTACTATTATGGAGCATTTGCTCCATATTAGGTACATGCACCTGTCTCGAAATGCTTTCTTATTTCTGAAAGGCCGCAATCGAAGATTTTGTTGCAAGCCTTACAGAAAAATTTCGATTCATCTAAAGAAACTAGTTCCAACCATACCTTTAAAGAATCATCACTGTCCAACCAGTGCAGCTGAAATTTCCTATTATTTTTTTTGGCGGGTCTGCAATCCATTGTTGATACAATTACACCTGTTTTATGTTCACTGTTCAATATATATATATATATTAAACGATTTTACGCCACACAAACGCACTATACAACACGAAAACTCGTAACCGACGGAAATTGTTAAATGTTTTGTAGGCAAAATGGCAGTTTCGTGATCGGTCTCTTTGCTCGCTTTCTAAGACATTTCCCGCGAATTGGAGTTCATTAACGACCATTGTTATTCTCCCACCCGTCATGTTAAGCCGATCACGTTGGCAACGATGATCGCGCAACCTCTGTTGGTATACACCCTCCCGCGCGTAGAATCCTTAACGGTCGCTGATCTCTCTCAGATTTGTTTGGAACTTTGCAGATATGCAGAATGCTGGAAAACGTGGGACAAGTATATTTTGTAATTGTCCGTATAGATATATATGTATATGTGTGTATTCGTTTCAGAGAATAATTAAAAGTATAAAGATATATAATTTAACGTGTTTCTCACATAAAGGTTTCTACATTGATGTGTCGAATACGAGCCAATAGTGTATTAGATCGTATTTTCAACTATTCTCTGTTATTCGTTGAGGCGACGAAAATACATAAAAACGAATCGGCTCGAACTCGCCTCGGCGATGTATAATTTGACCTTAAGACGTGAAAATGAGATAGATTCGTTTCAAAAAGATGCCGCGAGTAAATGAAAGTTACCGTTGATATACAATAGTTTCAGTAATTTTCGACTGATCCTTGTGAGGTGCCGCTTTTCGTGGCATCTTTTCAAAGTGCTACCGGTTCAGTTTTTTTATTGTGCTATGCCAACGGGATGTCAAGCCGTTCATTCGCGACCTACGTCAGACCCGGTTTTCGTACCCGACACTGCAGTCCCTGGGACTGCGCACTATCCGCGCTCGGATTGGTCGGTGTCTTTTGTTATTAACTCGAGAACCAAGCCTTAACCAACATTTTGGCAATGGAAAAGTTGTTTAGAATCAACTTAGCAATCATCCCTCTTCGGGTGTCGAGGTAGTCGCGTGACACGCGGCATATCCTACTAAATATGATAGGTTTCATCGCGAACGATATATTCCTTGCAGAGTAACATGAAGGCATAGATTTGTTGCTATAACAGTAGTTACTAACAAATTCCATAAGTTTTTACAAGTGGGATCATTGCAAAATGTGAAAGGTTCCATCGCAATCGGTACATTCCCTGCAGCATAAATGCAGTATTACGTTTTTTGCGATAAAAGTCATTAGGAATGGAAAAATACAAAATATTTTTTTTACGGGACCAATCGGGCGATATACTTTACAAGATGCAAATGGTTTCGTTCCGATTGGTCCATCCGTCTCGGCGTAATCGGTGAACATAATTAAAAAAAAAAAACAAGAATATATATATATACACATCGAATTGAGTATCCTCCTGCTTTTCGAAGTCGGATAAAAATTGGTTAGGTAAAATTGTAAGGATATAAAGAAATTCCAATCTTTAACGGTTTGATAGTTTTATTTCTTATTCCTTACAACTATTATAATTTTATTCTCTGAATGGTCATTACAATGAAAGATGGATTAGATACAATTTGATTCCTCAGTTAATTTGTTATATACATATAAGGTTTCTTGCAACTATTGCAACTAGTCCGCGCTTATACGATATTGTATATTTTACTTTCCTATAATACAAGAAGGAAACAAAACTATAATATAGTGATTATCATAATACAATAGAAAATGTTAAGCTTGCTATAAACCTTAGTAAATATAATGCAAATTATGTCGTGTTTGGTCTTATTTTAATCAGAAGAACCTTACAATTACATTGGTAAAAGTTTCATTTAGCAAAACTGAAAAATAAAAAAGTTATGGTTGAATTCATATTGTCTCACTCAAATGTTTTTTCTCGGGCTCTTTAATTCTCGGACCTCTTTCTCTTTCATTATTTGTCCTTTTCTACGTTCGCCAGCATTCAAGAACTCGCTCGAGCTATGTGGTTCTGCCAGCGTCACATTTTCGTTACCTATTCATCGAATATTTGGGCGTAATGCAAAATCAAAAGAGTCCAGTATAATACCACATTCTATACTGAAAAAATATACTAAGTTATTTGTCTAAAAAAATGTTAGGAAATCTGACAACAGATTTTTTTTCGGGCCGCTTTTCTTAAGTAATCAGCATTTTACCAGTCTCCTGTATAGAATCGTATGTATTAGTTTGTAGCAGAATAACTTAACATTTCGCATAATAGAAATAATTAGATCGTACAAATAAAATAGGAACCAAATTTCAACCACATGGGTTATGCCGATATCCAATAGATCAGCGAGGTTAAGCCTACGTTGACTGCGGTTCACAGAAAGATGGTTGAACGCCCGCTTTGCTGTGGTTTGTTTTATATTAGCAAAGCAAGCCGAAGAGAAAAAAAAACGGCACCTCCCCTTAACAAAAAAAAAGGGAAAGGAAAATAAAATTAAATTGAGTTGGATGATTATTAAATCTTCGAGGAAGATTGAAGTATGGGGTGTGAGAAATGTGATTGAAATTTGGTCGCTACGAAATCGGACTTAAAATACTTCCAGATTTACGAAGAGAGAAGAGACAAAATTAAATTAAATATAATGTATACTATCCTGAAAACAGAAAAAAACGTATCAGTTCTGGAGGTCCGACTTTTTATAAAACAAAATTTTATTTTTTATGTATCTTATACATTTATGAATAAATGTATGTACATATGTGATACGTACAGAAGTTCTATTTTCAATTAAATGTTACTTCCACTATGTATTACAATACTTAAAGGCGAATATATTGCGTAGGAAAATTGGTTAGGTTAGGGTTAGGTTAGTTTATAAATAAATCTATAATCTTTTCAGGTTTGTTTCTTTTATTTATTTTTTATTTTTGAAAGATACAAAGATACTGCAATTGTATTTGTTCGCGTCGCGCGATTGCATGCTTGCTCGAGCGGTTAGCTTTAAATTTGGCGCTGCGCTAGGGTGTGCGGTTGGACGATGTCACGCGGCCCTGCGCAGGCGCGAGCGGCGGGTCGGTGGCCCAGGACCGGGCCCGCGCATTGAACCGTGATCGGTCAATTTGTGCGGGTGCTTTTGCCAGAGTTTTTCCGAGTTTTTAATTTTGCCAAAGGATGAATTGTGTTTTGGATCTTGGACTGGTGGTGTTCGTTGACGGGCGCTGTGGCTGTCGGGCGTGTGTCCTATTTTGTTGAAGCACTAGGTGCTGTCATTTATCTGCACGGCCGGGCGATCTTGTGGGTGGTTCAAACGGCTACCTGTGCGCGTTGTTGAACGGCCCAGTTCGGCGATCGGTTGATTCTGCCCACCTGGCTAGCCGTGCGTGGTGCGTTTTTACGGCCACTTTGTCCTCTTTGCCGGGACGCCCCCTGTGATCAGGGTTTGTTGTTTTTTGGTAAGGACCACGACGATTTGTTGCGACGTCGGCGAGACACCATCCGATACGATTGGTAAGAGAGCTCTCGATTGTGCGAGTATATAACAGTTTGAATGATTATGCAAGTGCATGTTAGCTTTAATCTCTAGTTTGTATTACACGATTTTCATTTTTATAATCTATTTGTATTATTTTATGTATATATATTCTTTTAGTAATTTGTTTGCTGGGACCAGGCTTTTTCCCCACTTTCGACTGGGGTTTTTTTACAGTCGGTACCCGTAGAGTAGAGTCAGCTAGGTTTTTTGAGATATTAAAGTTATTTTTCTTTTTAAACATATATAATTTGTTTTATTTATTTACCGGCGACGCCAATTCCACCTCATGTCCTTCCTCATTCTATGTTACTCCGAATAGTCAGAACAGTATTGTTCAAATAATATTCAGTTGTTACGTTGCGCGACGCGAGGCGATCGCGCAACGTAAAAAGAAAGGAATTAGAAATATAAATTTATTATTCTTATTTCTGGGCGATGAGAAAGGTATCGCTGCCACCAGTTTTGACCGCGTATGACGCGGAAGCGTCCTCTACGGTCAGAACAAATTAAAAGACGGAAATTTAGATATTAGATAATTCCGTTGGGTTCGTCAGTGTTCTGGGTCCCATACGGGTCCCTCCTTGAAACGCTGTGTTGGCGTGCGTGGATTTGAAATGTGAATGATACAGGAATGGAAATCGAAAGAAATGTTAATACCGTTTAATGTGCAAAAGAAAATAAATTTAATTCAAGACTATTGAGCTGAATTCCAAGTAACTATTGAATGAATACTGATAAATTCTATTAAATACTGATAATTACTGTTAAATGAATTCAAATTGGAACAATACTGGTTTACAAGGGTAAAGATGCTTAACCTATGATTGGTATAAATGTGATTTGATTTTGCCTTTGATTTACAATGCGACTTTCTAATATAGTTAGAACGAATTGTAGTTGAAATTTTAATGTTAGACGACTGGCTCGACCAAATAGGAAGTTGAAACGTTGGCGGCGTATATCCGCCAGGTAACGACCTGAATGAAGAGGCTCTTACAACCCCCGAAAGGGCTTTACAGGTCGTCCCTGATAAAATATCGAAGTCGAAACAATCGTCACACACAAAAATCGCGATGGATGAAAATTCGAAATATTAATATAACGTATAATTTATGGTTCGGTACCTGAACGTGAAAAACGAGACGATCTAAAATGAAGAGACTCTTATAACCCGTAGGCTTAATAGATCGCCCGTTTTGCCTTGTTGAAAATAAATCACAATGCCGTGCTCGACAAATTAGTACTGAACAGGCTTACCGTGAGAATGTAGAGTATGATATACGATAAAATCGTTTTGAAATTCGCTGGAAGAT